ATTATCTATTGATCACACTTAAGTTTGCTGACTTTTTAAATGCTTCCATTTCCTCATCCGTAAATTCAGATCATGACAACTAGCTTTTGGGGTTGGGCCTCCATAACATGGTGCTTGACATGTAATCGATAACCAGATAATCATATCTATTATAATGTCTTGTCTTTGTTGCTGAATTGAAAAGCAGTATTTTAATTTTGCTTTATATTTAGACTTGGCTAACACTTTTCTAAAAATCCATGTCAATATGGCTTTTAAAACAAAATGCTAATTATAACCCTACTAATGGAAACATAGTACTTGCAGCAGTGAAGATTAATTATACTTTAGAACAACAACCTCTTTTTTATACAGGACTGCAATAATTAATTTTTGCTAATTACAAGGCATTATAATAACCTGCCACTAATTGATACTCCTTGGTTAATAAGAAATTAAAGATACATAAAACAATATTTGAGGTAAGCAGATCACCTGTATTATCGTTAGGTTTACATGTACTTGACATTTGTTCTGCAATCTTATGACTCTGATCCATTTGAATGATGCATTTGATGATTCCCATATTGTGTCCCCGTCTCAGGTTAGTCATGTCATAAAATAGGAAATGAGATAGGAAATAGGAAATGAAGTTCTAAAACCTAATATTTGTGTTATCCATAACGCTAACGCCAAAAGATAAAATAGATTTTTAGGCAAAAAGATAAGATTAAGCTTTTTCACCCATGCTAAGTAACTTAAGACACTGTCACATCCTGCATCAGTAGGAAAGTATTATGAGTGATGTGGGCAAGTGGAAGCCCCAGACCAGGAATCAGAAGAGCTGGATTCTAGTGAGTTATATTATTTATATACTGTGTGACTCTGGGCCAATCCTGTCTGAGCTTCAGTTTTCTCATCTATAAATGTGAATACCTATATATCTAGCAAAATGCTTATACTGCTGCTTCATTAGACTCTTGTGTACAGCAAATAAAACAACTGATAAGGAAACTACATAGAGATAACTCTTAGAAGTCAGAAATGAAAGAGACTACCGCTGAGAAAACTGATATTCAAAGAAGTCAGGGTTACCTAGGTGGTTAGTGACCCAACCTCAGATTTCCTTGTTCTACAACTTGTGGTTTGTCCATTTTCTTTTCCTAATAAAAATATACTTTCTGGGGCCAGATGCGGTGGCTCATGCCTGTAATCCCGGCACTTTGGGAGGCTGAGGCGGGAGGATCATGAGGTCAGGAGATCGAGACCACGGTGAAACCCCATCTCTACTAAGAACACCAAAAATTAGCCAGGCGCAGTGGTGGGCGCCTGTAGTCCCAGCTACTTGGGAGGCTGAGGCAGGAGAATGGCGTGAACCCAGGAGGCGGAGCTTGCAGTGAACCCAGATCGTGCCACTGCACTTCAGCCTGGGCAACAGAGCAAGGTTCTGTCTCAAAAAAAAAAAAAAAAAAAAATATATATATATATATATATATATTTCAATTCAACAACAAAGACAACAACAAAGACTATATATATATAGTTCACCCTGTGAACAACTTTGGATTCTACAAGTTTAAGCATATATTACACATTCTGCTTATGCATATCCAAGTATTAGCTTCCATTTGGTCTTTATTTGAAAATATTTACTTTTTTTGTCACCCAAGCTGGAGTGCAGTGGGATGATCTCAGCTCACTGCAGCTTCCACCTCCCAGGCTCAAGCAACCCTCCCACCTCAGCCTCCTGAGCAGCTGGGACCATAGGAACACACCATCATACTAGCTAGTTTTTTGTAGAAAATATTTATCTTAACTCATTAAAATAAATCCTATTGCCCTCTTCTTCAGGAATTACTATTTTCTCTTAAGAACTGCTTAAACATAGAGGGGATGCCAATGGTAATTTGATTTGTCAAAAATTCAATTCGTTTCCATACTGCTTACCCTATAATTAAACAATTGAAACCATTTTGTAATTAGGACTCCTTTGTATTTATTCTGCATTTTTCCTAGCCTAAATAAAATGACTGTGATTTGGAAAGATGTCACCAAGAACCACTATTTTCAAAAAGTTCAGTAAGCACATTAGTGCCCACACACAATTCCTGATTCTTTTAATTTTACCCTGTTATTCTCTCAGTGGAAGTAGGGTATACACTTGCTCTATTAAACAAATATAAAGACAACATCAATCACTGTGGCCACTTTTGTTGTTCTAATGTCTGTCAGATCACTTTGCAAAATAATGTAAGGAGTAAGTAGCACCACTGAGAATAGAACAAAAACACCCAAATTAAAACTCTCAACCAAAGTCACTTAAGTTAGTAACATTGGTTGGAACGCAAAACAAGCACATTAAGTTTTATAAATTGTGCATGAAATCACTTAATATTTCAATATACTAAAAGCTGGCCCTGTATTATCAAAGCTGTCTTTAGAGGAGAAGCCTCAATTAGTGCTTCTGTCGTTCCAGTTGCCAGTATTTTCTCTTCTGTGTTTAAGATACAGGATGATTGACTGTCTTCATGAATACCTGCTCGTTAGCACTTAGTTTAAGATAAAATGCTGTTCACGGTTGTAATTTAGATGAAAGCTCTCTATAGTTCATAAACTTCAATTAAATGCTTCTAACCTTTTGCATAACACTTAACATTGAAAGACGTTTGGTTTTTAGGTCAGCTCTAGATTTAGGATGTATTTGTGAACACAGCGCTATAAAAAGGCAGGTTTTCGTGTGACTCAAGTGCTTTTGCTTTTATAATATAAAACCAGCATAGGAATGAAATGTGCTTAGTTTCCAACCATCAGAATAAAGATACAAGGAGGTATATTTTTTATCCCTCAACAAACTTTACTGTTAAGATGGGGAAAATAATAGGTTAAGAAAAATAATGACAAAGTGAGTAAAAGTACAGGGAAGTGGTAGTTATTGAATGACCTAATTCTTAGTGGAAACAATGCTACAATACAGCAAAGGCAGACTGGCAAGTTCTCCAGGCAAGATCATGCCAAATAGATTCTCAACTTACATTCCTTTATTTTATTTCAATAATTTACCTTGCTTTTGCTAATGGAAAAAGAGTTTCTCTCTGCTATTTGTGACTTGGTTTAGTTTTTCATTTATTATGGAGATGATTTAAGAGACTTGAGACCCCCCACAAAAACTCTATATTTTTTCACATTTTAAAATGGAAAACATAGAGATAAATGTAAGGTAATCATTCATATATATTAATTACAGTTTTTAAACAGAATTTGAAAAGAAGCAATTACCCACTTGACAATACTATGCCTGATCTAGTATTGGTAAACTTTTAATAAATTTAAATCATTGTTTTCAGTGTGGAAAAAAGCTAACTCTTGAACACCTAGTATTTTTGGGTGCCTAAAAAAGGGATTATAGTATTTTCCACCATCCAAAGTAAATTTATTATGAGAATTCTACAAAATATATCTATGCAAAACAATGCCATGTTGAGGTAAGGAGGGCCACAGGTATAGGATTGTTCAAATGTTGAAAGATAGTTTTTCTTCCCAAAAAACTGGAAACAAATGTCTGAATAGCATATGGTGCTTCCTGAGAAGGCTTTCAAGCAGTTTCACTTTCATATAAATTTTGGACATAGAGGAAGCAGGTAGGAGATGTGGTCAGAGTTAAAAAATAAAGCGGTGGTCATCAGAGATTTCGGAAGCAGAAAAAAGGGAAAGGTACTCGAACAACTACAGATGAACATCTTTCAACTGTAAAGTCCTTAAAATAACCGGGTCTGAAGCTAGTATAATTTATTTGTTTTCTACAATATCTTCAAGAAAGTAAACAGTGAACCTTCAAGTATGAAGAGGCCATAAAACTCTTCTGGGCACTAACGAGGGTGAACATGGCATGTGCCAAGGGTGATCCAGGTTGACTGTTAGAGGGAAAGATTTAAGTGGCCTCCTAAACTATTTTCTAAGGACTTTCCAATCCAATGTGCTACTGTAGCCACAATAACTAATGAAAATACTATGTGTTGAAGATGAACTTCTAGTTGTTTTAATATGCCACACAAAAGGGATTTATCACTGGAAAAATGATCCCTCATGAATCCTTAATGAAGCTGGATAGATTTGAGGAGTAACCCTCACCTTTTAGGAACAACCGTTCCCTCTGGAAAGTACTCCTTACTGAAATTCTAAGAGACAGATTATCAAGCAGTCCACAAATTAGAGAAATTAGACATTTCCAACGTACTTAATTTATATTAATCACCACATTATCAACTCTGAACTTGTAGACAGTCCCCATCGGATATCCAGATTTATTTACAAACAAACAATTCCCTCTGCCCTTTTAAAATAACCATTTACTTTATGGGCCTCTCTGACAATCACCTGTTCATGCATAACAACCAAAAACCATCAGTAAAATGGGCAACCTCAATTTGCTTCCCATATAAAACATCAACTACATTATCAATCTTTAGGGTAAAGGCAAGAAGGTAATGAGAGATGCATTTCTGTCATATGGTATCAGGGATATTGTGTGCCTATGTAGAATTTATTTGTGTGAGAAAGAAAAAGTGGGAAAAAGCTATGTTTGAATCTTAATTACTTTCTTTTTTCCTTTTTTTTTTTTTTTTTTTTTTAGACAGTCTTGCTCTGTTGCCCAGGCTGGGGCTGGAGTAAAGTGACATGACCTTGGCTCACTGCAACCCCCGCCTCCTGGGTTCAAGCAATTCTTCTGCCTCAGCGTCCTGAGTAGCTGGGATGACAGGCACCCGCCATTATGCCCGTTTGGTTTATGTATTTTTAGTAGAGACGGGGTTTCACCATGTTGGCCAGGCTGGTCTTGAACTCCTGACCTCAGGCGATCCACCCGCCTCGGCCTCCCAAAGTGCTGGGATTACAGGCATGAGCCACCAGGCACAGCCATCTTAATTACTTTCATAGATGGTTAATAACCTCACTAAAACAATATTCTCATGCACATACTCAAATCCATGAAAATAAAAGTATCAGTGATGTCTGCATTTCCTTACCTTCTATAGCTGATAGGAGAACCCGGGAATGATCATATGCGATTACATTCGCATATCTATTCTTTGGTTTGTTTACTTCCAAGTTTGAATGTTCCCATGTGAACTGCTGGCCAGGGTCAATTGACTTTAAAAGAAAAACAACACATATACATAAAATCAATACTGAAAACCACCAGATTATAGGCATTTATCACTAGTAATAAACATGATTTAACAGGAAAATTCTAAAGCCATACTTCATCAAGATGATCCTAACTGTGAAGCTGAACACTAATATAACCAGCATAACAAAAAAATGATTAATCATTGCAGAAACAGTGATAGTCACCAACATTGATTCAAATGAAAAATGAAATCAATATAGATGTTCCGTTAATATTGGAAAGGCAGGTTCTTATTTTTCACTTTTCCATTTCCCTCTCTGCTGCTGTAGTTTACCAGTTATCTTGGTTCAATATTCCTTCCGGTTCTGTAAACTTTATTTTATATTGATTATTCTTCCCTATTCTTTCCTATCTGGACCTAAGCTGAGTCTTTAAGTTGACTGGTCTTTCACTGGCTTCAATGGACACAGGCTTTACTGTTCATTCTTTACCTAATGTTTACAACTTAATGGCAACTTAACGTTTTGTCTGTTTCTCTGTAACACACTACGACCAAGGCAAATTGTACAATTCAAATAGCTAGCACGAACAGTAAAGAAGGGAGGTCAGTTAAAGTTAATACTCATCTTAGATTAATAACATATAACCCACTGCAGATAAATTGTTTTTCTATTCATCATTATATCTTTTCTATGTATTATTATGTGTTACTATGTTTATAGTTTGCTTCTTTTTATTCCTGATTTTAATATTAGTTTTTTTTTTTTCTGATTTTATCCCTTTCTTTGATGGTGCATTTCAACCAAAATTATTCAACAATCTAAAATAAATATCAAACTGATATAAAGTACGTAATTTAAAAATATTTAAGTAGAATCATCACTTCAAGACCAAATTCAGGTTTGATCATAAAACTCTAGGGGAATTTATTTCCTGAAATGTTATAGAAATCAAAATAGTTTTTCTTTCATCCTAGGATGCTGATAATATTTAAGATTTATAGTTTCATTGGTATATGGAAACACAAGTTTATTAATTACACAAACATGATTTTAAATGATAAAAATCAAGTTTTCAAGAATGATAAAACAGGTTTATACCCAGGTAATATTTTTTTAAAAAAGATACTATATTATGTTAACAGAATTTTTAGCAGTTATTTTTGATGCTGGATATTTTTCATGCATTTATGTGTATATCTAGAATTTGGGAGTAAAACATATCCCCAACAGCTATCAAAATATTAAAGATGTGCAAACTTTCTGTCAAAAGGCACAGAATTCAGCAATTCAGCACAACATTAAAACCACAAATGTAAAGAGTCAAGTCTGTTAATAGTCTTGAACAGCCTCCAAGCATTCTAAAATTCTCAGCGGTATAGATTTCAGCCTCGAATTTACTAAGGATTATTAAACTGTTTTCCTTTCTTAGCCTGTGTTAATCTATACATAAAATAGTCAATCACTGAGCAGTATTCAGGAAAATATTAATAATTATCCATACCTTAGAGCCTGAAAACTAATGTAATTAAGGGACTTTCTAGTTTGCTCTTCCAGGGAAATTTTTCATCTCCCTTGCAGAAATTAATTCTCCCCAAGCATGCTATGAGCCGAAGACACTGAAGCATTCAGATGCCCTGGTGGAAGCCTTCAAGTCAACCTTGAACCATGTCCATCCACACAGAGCAGCTCCACTAGGTGATGAGGGCCTGCCTTAAAAATCTCTCACATTTGCAATCTCACTGCAACTTCCTACATCCAGAACATTGGTATCTGTTGTCTGATTGAAATCCCTTCTCTAATCTCTTATTCCAATCCACTCTTCATACTACTGCCAAAGTTGTCTTTCTAAAGCATAGCTCTGGACAGTTTGGCTCCCTATTTAATAACTTCCACTGGCTCTGTGTGACCTACAGCCTAAATTCTAAATTCCTACCTATGCAGTTTTAGTCATCTTTGCATCGACACTATACCTGGCTCAGTAAATGGTTCTACAGATGTTATTTAGGCAAATGAATAGAACTGATGAATAAATGTTTTTGAGAAGTTCATAAAGAGAAATCACAGAGTAATTCCTATATATAACATGGGAGTTAGAGAACAAATTATGGAAACTTCATTGTACAGTATACCAAAATTATAATACTTAACACTCATTATCATATGGCTTAGTGATTAAGTATGTGATCATGGAATTATAACTACCACTGCTATTCCACTTTACACTGATGAACATTATTGGATACATAAGCTTCTTACACATGATTTAAACATCCCAAGAAGTGACTAAGCTCACTGATATATGTACAGTGCTTTTGGTAGAAGATATCACTCCCTCTGATATCCTTGTTTTACTTAGACTAAGATCACTCACAGATGTGTAAGATGGCACGCGTTTACTTATAGCAATGAAATTGCATCTATTAACTGAAAGACACTGTTAACTCCTATCCATTTCCACTCTTGACATGTTTTCAGCCTTCTGAAGAACTTATTTGATACCTACGTTGAAGACTTTAAAAATGAGTAATAGAAACCTGCGTTGTGTGTCACATATGTTAGATAATATGCTTAGGTTTAAAGTGTGGCCCATGAGATGAAGACCAACAAATAACAGGATAATTATAATAATACGTGCTAGGTCATTATGCTTTACATGAAGAATTATGCTTGATTTTCACAACTGTTGTAAGGTAGGTATTGCTTTTTCCATTTGGCACGTGATAAAATTGAAGTAAAGAAAGATTAATTTAATTATTCTTACTGAGGGTCTTCTTTGTGACAGGCTCTGTGCTACCTGGTACTTAAGTAATTTGGCTAAGCTCACACAGTTAAGATTCATACAGTTACCCTCAAACCTGGTCTGTGGGATTCCAAAGCTCAACTGACAATTAACAGCCGGTAATGACTAAGCCATGATGCTATTTAACTATCCAGAATGCCACTGCAAAAGGAAGAAGCCCAACTTAAGAAACACACCTACACATCACTATCCTTTATCTCACCAGCCCAAATGATATTTCTTCCCAACTTATCATCCTGTGTCATTCTGGGGCAATTACATAAGAAATCAAGTTTTAAAAATGAGGTTGGCTTCACATGGATGATAAAACAGATGGGATGCAGCTTACATTTATACTCGTTTTACACGGATCAAACAAACATTGATTAAATAATGCTGACTTGTCTTTGTGCAACACAGCACTCATCCATCTGTATCTATCTGTCTGACTGAACGCTTAACAAAACACAACACAGGTCATTATTTTTGGAGCCTGTCAGAATGCTGAGAGCAGTAAACTCAGTAAAGAAGAACAACAACTGAAAGTTGGTGAGGTATACTAAGATCTTTTGTATTTCAAGAAACACACAAAACTGGTTGAGGAAAATCAAATTTCAATTATCCATCTTAATAAGGCAAAGGTATCATGAATGAGTAAGACCCTAATTGCTGGTGACAGATACAGTTGCTTTGCCTCTCTGTTCTCAGGCTTTGTTGCTGCTGTCCTCTTAAGGAAGAGTGAAATGGCCAAAATGGAGAAAAAGCAATGTAGACCCTGAGGAATGTAAAAGTTGACTTTCACTTCAACCCTTTATTTTCGGTCAGTCCACCCTGACCATGCATCTTTTTTACTATAAAGCTAAGCTGAGGTTACCCAAATATTAATTATTCAAAACAATTTGAAATAAGCTCCTTTGTTCTTAATGGACTCAATTACTTCTTCTGGGTCTGTTGTTGTTAGTGTCTGGTTTCCCTGAGCTTGACTCATAGTTATGTCTACTTAGCTCTGTCCACCCAAATAATCTTCTGTGGGATACCCTTGCCTTCCCAGCACTCAATTTGAAGTTTTACCTTCCCAAGCTGAAATCCTAGCCAGGCTTTCTTCAGTCTCCATTGTGGAGAATTTTGCAAGTTAGAAATAAAGCAAGCCAGATTTATTCAACTAAAAGTTGATTAATACGCTTTTATACATGATACGAAATTCATAAATTATCACAGAATTCACAAACAGAAATGCTACTTCATCATACTTTTTGTGTCTCCAGCCAATCAAAAAGCCCCTTGAAAGAAAGATATTGGATGAACCCTATAGAGCATCTAAAATTTTACCAAGGAGCCGAACCATTTTACATTGCTTCCCAGCCCGCACACTGGGCACATGACTCCTCCTTCCGACCTCAGCTTGTGACTAAACCTTTCTAATGCTAACAACAGATCTTCAACTCAAAGGCTTTGCTTACTCAGAAAAAGTGACCCAGTAGAAGAAAAAAAATCCTATTGTGAGTGATTTAAAGAACAACGGGAAAGTCTCAAGCAGATACTTACTAATATAAAACACTTTGCATTTATTTAGTCTGTAACTGGATGGTTTGAAAGTTCTAATCTTTTGTATTTAATCAACTAGAACTTTATCTCAAACTAGGTAACTGAAAAAATAAGCTATATGTAGCAGACGGATTAGAGGTTCACATTGTATTCTCGACAAAAATTCAGAATTAAAATATAAATATATCCAGTAGTTACAACTAATACTTAGATAACATTTACTATGTTTTCTTTGTGCTTGGTACTTACTAACTCATTTATCTTCGCAAAGACCCTAGAAGTAGTTGCCATTATGATTACAGTTCCGTAGATGAGGAAACTGAGGTATAGAGAAGTCAAATAACTTTCTCAGGGTCAAACAGGTAGCAGGGAGAGAGGACAGCCTCGGGGTCCACACATTCTGGACCTGGAGGCTGAGGGCCCATCCACCATAAGATGCTTTCTCTCTACTTAAGCTGGAGAAGATTCCTTGAAGGTTTCACACTTGCCTTTCAACTATTCTCTTGAAACACAAGGCACGGAAGTCTGGGAACAATCTGTGTAGTACTGTTGAACTCTATTTGTAATTCTAAACTCCAAACAAGAGAGTGATCATCAATTTGAACATCAGATTACAGTCATCGAGTAAAATTATATCCTGATATGGGAGTAACCTTTTTCAATAATGCTGAAGTCATTATCTTAAAGCAAAGTC